TCTAAAGAGCAGGCCATATGGGCTGATGCGGTTATACCAGAAGGTCTTGCTGTTCAATACCAGGCTGCTTACCTTTGGACTCCCATCAGTCTTTGGTCTGGTATATGAGAAGGATCCTCGCCCTTCACTGCCCATTGCTGCCAGAGCTCTGATCCGACTTGTGCTGCTGCAAAACCAAAAGTTATCATTGGGGGAAGATAATGGATCTGCCAGGGCATCCTAACCAGACTGGATGACAAGTACCAGACTGGACACCCCACACTTTTTTTCTTTCTGAAGTAAATATTCCTAAACATCTCCAAGCCACATTTTGCAGCAGATCCTCATGTGCAGTTAATCACTTCCTAAAACAGTAATTACCTGCTGTTCCTAAATTTAAGACAGCCCCTGCTGCTTTTAATCCCCACTGACCTGCGGGTGGGTGAGGCGGGGCGCACCTGCACCAAGATGAAGCCCATGCTCTGCAGGTATTGGATATATTGCTGCAGGAATGTATGGCACAGCTCTAGCAGCCAGGCCTCATCCTTGGCCCGACATGGCAGCCCCTCTGTAGAGTCGCAGCTGTGGCTGCGGTCCCTGCTGGATGCCGTGGAGTCATTTGAACGGTGCCGCTTCTGCATAGCAAGCAAGAAAAGAGATAGTGACCTAGGTGTTTTGGGTTTTTTTGGTATTTTTGCTTTTTTGTGAGCGTGTTCATGTGCGCCCATGCCTGGAAGTCATGGTGACCTCTGGCGACTCCTACTGGGGCATGCAGGACATTCAGAGAAGTGGCTTGATAGCCTGCCTCTGCCTCCCGGTCCTGGTATTCTTTGGAGGACTCCCATCTAATGCTTGCCAGGGTCAGCCCCGCTTAGCTTCTGAGATCGGACTTGCCCAGGCTGTCCAAGTCAGGGTGTGACCTAGTTTTTTCAAAGAACCTCTTGGGAAGGGGCCTTGCACCAAAACCCAAGAAACAGCTTTGATTACACATATCAAGGGAATATGCACAGACCCTTCCCCAAACTTTTCACCTTTCCCTCTGGCTTGCCCTGTTGGTCAGCCTGAATTTGCTGCCGGAAGGTAGGATCAAAGAGCAGTGGTGTAGCACAGTAGTGGACCAAGCGCGATGACTGCTTCAGGGTTTCCAAATCTGCAATCTGCACATACACACACATAAATGGGTAATCATCACATACTTCTGGACTGTGGTTATATCATCTAATGGGACTGATCACCCTTTTCCACATGGACGTCTTGGAGAATAAAGGGGACTGACACGATGATGATAAAGCTCAGCTCCCAAATGTTTTGTTCCTGGCCACGGACCTCACACACAGACATGACAGCTTATCTGTAGAGATCAGAGAACTGAATATGCAGCACCTCACAAGACTGCATGTCCCTTTAAGTCTCAGTCCTGACTCCTCTCCTGAATATTTACAAGTTTGCTTCAACTGCATCTATGCCTATCATTTTAAGCAACATAAATTCAGCCTGCTGCTGTAACAAGAGTGAGGAACATAAATGAGTGATTGTACCAACACACCTTGCTGTGTTTCATTTTATTTCACACAACCCCTTTTGTGGCTTTGTAGTTCATACATGCAAGGATCCAAATGGGAATGAGTGACATAGGTCATACCTGAAACACTAAGTTAATACATCTACTTATATGATTGAGACTCACGTAGGCACTTGAGCCTGCGGTTTCAAGTAGCAAGCAGCATGACAGTGTTTGCTGCCCAGACATGTCAAGGAGACTCTGCCTAAAAGTTAGCACCTTTTAAACAAGGTACTAACTTTTTCTAGTATAAACATGGAAACTGAGCCATTTTCCTGAACACCATCCAGCACAAATAAGAGATTATATCAAATGTTTGCAGTATACCCTGGAGAAGTCTTAGGAAAAACAGTTTTAAGTCCACTGTTTGGTCTGGGCAAATCTGATACGCAGATGTGCCATGGTTTATGCTATAAATTGCTCCAGTGTTTTGGATGAGATGAAGTATCCATTTACCAAATTAAATAAATGAATAATCCTGATGTACAGTGAAAGGATCAGATGTTGGAACCCAGTAGCACAACTGCTAGGGTGGCAACACACGGTCCAGTTTAATCTCTCATCCTGGTGAGCTTCTCATACTATATTCAGCACTGTTGCTCACAGCAACCCTAGCTGCAAAGAGACTCCTATTGTCTACACTGCACTGCACTATCCCATGAACATCTGTTTCAGTATGGCCACTTGGAGCACACTGCTTCACTCATAACAGTGAACAGTGGCTTAGACAAAACAGGGTACCAATATAATCGCCAACAATCAAGGACACCAATTCAAAATAGGTGAGTAGCCTCCATGCAATTGCAGCTGACCGTCCCTAGACACAGAGATTATGTAGGAAAGTACAATGTGTGAACTGGCTTTCCTGGATACAGTCCTGCTACAATATACATTTTTTAGAACTGCTGCAGTCATAGAAATCAAAGCAGGTGTGTTGTCCAGGGAAACTCAGTGTTCATAACACAGGCCAAGAGACAGGGAAGATCCTGTTAGCAGCACCTCAATACCACCTGGGCTGTTTTCTCCTCGGCTTGCAGGTACTTTGGTGTGGCCAGCAGCTCAGGCCCATAG